TCCGATTCTTTGCCACCACAAAAAGAGCTACTATAAATATTTTTGTACACGTGGGTCCTTTTTCCATTTGTATGCTCTCTTTTACCACCCTAGAAGTGTCGTTGCTGGGTCAAAGGGTATGCACATTTTTATAGCCCTTTGGGCATAGTTCTAAATTGCTCTACAAAATGATTGGATCATTTCACAACTCCACCAACAATGCATTAGTATTCCAATTTTCCAACATCTTCTCCAACATTTGTCATTTTCTTGTTTTGTCATGTTAGCCCAATCTGATAGGTGTGACGTGGTACCTCAGAGTTGTTTTGATTTGCATTTCTCTAATCAATAGTGATTTAGAGCATTTTTTCATATGACTATAGATAGCTTTAATTTCTTCATCTGAGAACTGCCTGCTCATATCCTTTGACCATTTATCAATTGAGGAATGACTTGTATTCTTATGACTTTGACTTAACTCTCTATATATTTTAGAAATGAGGCCCTTGTCAGAGAGACTGGTTGTAAAAATTCTTTCCCAGTTTTCTACTCTCTTAATTTTGGTTGCATTGACTTTGTGCAGAAACTTTTCAATTTAATGTAATAAAAATTATCCATTTTGCATTTTGTAATGTTCTCTATCTTCTTCTTCTTCTTTTTCTCCTCCTCCTCCTCCTCCTCTTTCTTCTTCTCCTCTCTCTCTCTGAACACTAGCATTGTTGCCCCATCAAAGGTTCCATAGCAACAACCTTGAGGGAGGGGTTACAGGTATGTTATTTAATGTGATCCTAACAACAAGATTCAGCTCAAGTGCTACCTTGAAATGAAACCTTTCCTGATCCCCCTTAGGGATCACCTCCCTCCTGAAATTAGTCAATAAGCATTTATTAAGCATTATTATATTCAAAACTCATCTACTGAAAGCTTTTCCTGGTTACCTCCTTCTGATGCTTTCCTTCTGAGATAACCTCTCAAAGACACTGTATATATCTTGTATGTACATACATCCTTGCAGGTTCTCTCCCTTATTAAAACGTGAGGGCAGGGACTGGAGTTGGGAGGTGTTCCTTTTTTTCCCCCTTGTATATTCAGCATTTAGCACAGTGCCTGGAGCATAGTAGGAACTTAATAAATGTTTGTTGAATGAATGAATGACCAATAGTCCTATGAAGTAAGTGCTATTATTATCCTCATTTGACAAATGAGGAAACTGAGGCTCAGAGAGGTTAAGTCACATTTTTGGGGGGTCACACATTAGTGTCTGGAATCAAATTTGAATTCAGTTCTTCCTGACTCAAAGTCCAGCACTCAATCCACTATACCAAGCTACCTCTAAGTTAAACTTTGTTCATATAACTCCACAAAAATAATTTCAAAGTTAAAAAAACCTAGAGTTAGTGACTCAGTGATTCTTAAATTATGAAAAATATTTTGTTTTAGCCCTGGCTTGCTCAGTTGGTTCCATCATTGATTTTTTTTTTTCCTCCCCCAGTATTAACTCAAGAACTTCCATTATAACAGCCTCACAACATCTTAGGTAATTCCATTTTTCATTGACAGCTCTGTTTGGCTTCTGCTCCCTGGAACACTATGCCCCCATGCCAACTATCCTCTGGTAACCTCCTCACGTGTCCTACCCCAATTTTCAGCTTTCTTTTACGTGTTGTCTTCCCCCATTGGATTGTAAGCTGCTTGAGGGCAGGAACTGTCTCTTTTTCTTGTGTCATCATTGCTTAGCACAGTGCCTGGCATGTAGTAGGAATTTAATGAATGTTTATTGAATTGAATAACTACTTGTTGTTTATTTGACTAGGAAGACTGACAGGGGTAGTAGTGCAAATATAAATACTATTAAAGCCATACCCAATATCTATGTGTGTGTGTATGGATGAGAGGGGGTGGGAGGAAGGCAACTGATTATCAGTAAGGAAATATCTCTGCTTGCTCTTAACGCTCTCATTCATTCTCATAGCCAGTTTACTTTTTATAGTTATCATCATTCATTATCCTCTTGGCCATACTCAGCAAGAATTGTGGTTTTGGTTTTGATTTGTTTGTTTGTTTTACTAAGAAGAATAGAAAAGCAGAGAAGACTGAGACAGCAAACTTAAACTTCTTCAATAACAGGGTAGAACTGCTCTTTCTACCTCAAATTCTCCTGGAACTTCTGATTGGTGATTGTTTGCCTGGTCATTTGGTCACCTGCTTTTTACTCTGCTCCCTTTGGTATTATACATCATCTGTTTTCTGGTAGTTTGTATTGACTTCAAGCATCCTTTTTGTTCTGCCATATTATATTATATTTATTTATTAATAACATATTAATGAATTTTTCAATGCTGTTGCTTACCTAATTTCTGTGGAGACTCTTGCATATCCCATGTATCTTGCTTCCCCAGATGTTCTACCTCATCCCAATTGTCCATAGTGATGGGGTATGGGTCCAAGCCAAGACCTTTGCCCCTTACCCCAAAAAGTTCCATCTGTCTACAGGCCCTAGAAAACCCTTGGACTGTCCTTGAATTCTCTTACTGGATCAAGGAAACCTCAGAAGGTAAAATCCCATCAGCTGGCCTTTCCTACACCCTATCTCCCAATTCTCTGTTCCTAGCCCTCCATTGTCCTATGGACCACTTCCCACCCTCAATCCTATCTAGATTCCCTTTGCCACATGGTCCAGGTCCCCTCAGACTACTTGGCCACTCCTAGATCCCTCCCACAGTTTTTCTGTGTAGAAGGTCCATCTTGTCTCCATTAAAGTGATCAGATTCCTTAAGAACTTAGCCAACAGCTCACTAATGTTCAGATTCTTTAAGAGTCTGACCAATATGGCGGATCTTTAATAAACCTTGTTTCTGGCTGAAAGAAGGCTGGGGTCAAATTCTTTCAGACAGGACCTCTGTTTTACCCCTAAACCTCTAGACCTCAACACATAGCTCCCCCTGAAGTGAAATGGCAACTGCATTGTTTTCGTTGTTGATTAGATCCACCCTTTCCAATGTTCTTTTCCCTTGAAAATATTTGTGTTACTGTGCCCCATAAATGGACAAAGGACAATTTGAGGTGGCATTTGCTCTGAAGTGGAAGCTGTGTCAAAAGTTAAGTTCTTCCATTTACTTATGGCCAGCAACTTAAATATAATGCAGGCTTTTGGGAAAGCTAACAAAGTCTTAACAACAGAACTTTTATTTTTAAAAAGTCATAGGTGGGTCTGAGCAATAGAGATTTAAAAGAAACTCTAAAGGATGAATTTGGTAATAATAATTAAAGGATTATAAATAGAAAGCTGGAAGTGAACTTAGAGATCATTTAATCTGTAGGCCATAGTCCCCTTACAGTAGCCCCCTCCTCCATCCTTGTCATTTTACAGATGAAGAAACAGACCTAGAAAGGTTAAGTGACTTGTCTAGGGTCACAAAGGTAGTAGATGACAGAATCAGAATTCAAACTCAGGTCCCATGATTTCAAGTTTAATGCTCTTTCCATTGTATCATCCTGCCTAAATAGTTTTCCATTTTGTTTCTGAGGCAAACAGGGTCAAGTAACTTGTCCAGGGTCATTGAACTAATAAGTGTCTGAAACCAGATTTGAACTCACGTAGTTGAGTCTTCCTGACTGCAGCTCCAGCACTCTATCCGCTATGCCATCTGGCTGCATAATGATCATCATCATCATAATAATAACAACAATAATAATAGTCTATTCTGCTTTTTAGGCACAAGTCTGCCTGAAACATTTTAGAAGTTAATTTAACATTAATCTAATATCTAAGCATTTCTCAGGTAGAAAGACATATGTCAAAGGTATCATAATCCTTCTTCCCCATATCCTCAGATATGTTCTTACCCCATTTACAGAAATTTTGAACAAGGAAAATGTTATAATATGTTAAAATACAGTTTGGGGTTAACATTTAACTTAAAAAACTGAAAAGCAATCCTTTCTGAGTGAAAAAGATGGCTCTTTCCTCTGAATGGAAAAGATAGCCCTTCCCATGAGCCCCAGGTTAAAGCTTCTGGGTTAGCGGAAGGCAGAGTCTAACTAGATAAGAAGTACTCTTTGTTCTAGTTGTGTTTTCTACCCTGAACCCATTTCCCTTACAAAGGCCTTTATTATTGACCTCCTACACAGTTTCAATCACATATGTGCCAGACACCAAGCTTAGTATTTTACAATTATTATTTCATTTGATTCTTACAATAGTCCTGGGAGATAAGTGTTATTATTATCCCAATTTTACCTTTGAGAAAATTGAGGCAAACAGAGATTAAGTGACTTGCCCAGGGTCACACAGCTAGTTAGTGTCTGAGGTCTGATTTGAATCAAGGTCTTCCTGACTCCAGGCCCAGTGTTGTATGAACTGTGCCACCTAGCTTTTGAACAGATGAAAATCTAGGAAGCATTTTTTAGACTGGAGAAAATATCATTTCTTAATGGTTTCAGTTGGATTAAAAGAAGAGGGTTTTAATGTGCTTCTACAATTGTTATAAACATTAGTCAGAGTTGGATTATTTATATAAATTGTTGGATAATGAACTAGCCTCAAAACCAAAAAGACTTGGGCTCCAATCCTGCTTCTACTCGTGCTAGGCAAATAACTTAACCACTCAGTGCCTTGAGCCTAGACAGCTCTCTAACACTGTAAGTTATAGAGGTGCTGACTTGTATTGTTAAAGGGAGTTTCTTTACCTGAGAGCTCACTATACCAATGAAATCCTAGGTACTTCTCCTTCTCTTCTCCCTCTCCTCCTCTTTCTCTTCTAAGGTTTGTTTAGAAGCTTTCTAGGTACTCTCTTATAAGGTACTTTCCTATCTCTAGGAAATAATGCTTATAATAAATAGGCTGATATACTGAAACTTAGTAAAAATTTTTGAAGGGGTCCAAAATATCATTTGGGAAAAGAAACTAATGAAAAAAACTGGGATCAAAGAAGCACCACGAAAAATCTTTTTTTTAATTTTTTAATTTTTTATTTGTCAAATCTTTATTGGGTAAGTGGGGAAGGTTGGCAGGGTCCAGCTTAGTCCTTCTTGGCAGCAGCCTTTCTCATGGCGGTTAGGATGTTGCTGACCTCCTCTCTCTTCCTCTTGGCCTGGATGTGAGTTCCCACTCTTTTTTTTGATGAACTTAAGGGCTCTCCATCCTTGGAGACCTTTAATAATTCCATGGTCCACCTCTCATAAGCAGCAAATCCACACACCTCCCAGATCATATCTCTCACAAACTTGGTGTGTGCGGCCAAGCGCCCACAGCAGCGGCAGGATCTTGGCTTGGAAACGTTTTTGGTAACTTTGTGGCGCTTGTTGAGGCCTATGATCACTGAGCATTGGATGGCCATGGCTGCAGTGCTCCTGTAGCCCCAATGGCAGCCACAGCAGAAGCCATGAAAAATCTTAACATGCTGGCTTTCTGTAAGCCATTTTTTAAAATTTGCCTCTAAAGAGCCTTGTTTTTCTTTTTTCTTTTTTTTTCTTTAGCAAAGAACATCACTTAAATTCTCATTGTGGAGAGCATGAGGGTGTGACATGCCTGTATACATACATACATACATCATTTCATTAACAATGCAAGACTTGAACATTTACTGATTGTCCATGGTTAGGTAGAAGAGAATTCTGGTATTGTAAATTACCTTTTCTTTTTTTTTCTTTTGGATTTTTAAGAAAAGTTCATTTTTGTCTATAATATTAATTACACTTCTCAAGCACAAAGCACATGTATTGTTTGTCTCATGCTACAAACCTGTGGAATATTGGAAGACCAGTAATGTGATATTGGATTTATGTGAGTCAGTTTGTCCAGGTTAACATTATTGCAACAATGTTAACAGGCGAAGAAAAATAGTTCAAAATCTAAAAAAAAAACAAATGTCAGTCGAGTATTTTTGTATTCTATTTTCCAATTTTCTCTCTTTACAGATGGTCCCCCATACCTGGAATGTGCTACTGTCTCACCTCTGCCTAGTAGAAGCATAGCCCAGGCACAATCACTCATACAAGTCCTTTCATGAACCCCTAACCCCGAGTATCAGTTCAAAATTACTCGAAATGAGGGGAGGGGAGGGTATCACTTTGCTGATATTTTATGTCCATTAATCTGTCTACATTTTGTAAACTCTCAGTAAAATGTAAACTCTCTAAAAGAGTTCTCTGATCATGTCTTTTTATCCCTAGAACTTAGCACAGTGCTTTGAACATAGTAGGTGCTTAATGAATGATCATTAATTTGAGTTGCATTCATATACATAAACTTGGAAACTTGGAAAATGAACATCACTTATTTGGCTATAGAACTTCTGTTTCAGCAAAAGGCCTTGCAGTCAAGAGTACTTAGAAAGCGGTTGGATAAATGGTATCATGCTCCCAAAAAACAGAGCTGATGAAAGGCCTGGTAAAATGTTTTTAGGTGTCCCAGCATGACTAATACGTAAATTTTGAGTAAAATGATTTCACAGATTGCCCAGAGGAAACTGCAACTCCTGCAATGTAATTAATATTAATTGTAGAATCTCAGGGCCAGGCATCAATCAATCAATAAATATCCATTAAATATCTGCTCTACGCCAGTACCTAGGGATATAACAAAAATGAAACAGTCCCTGCCTTTAAGGAGCTTATATTCCATCTGTAGAAATAATAGACAAAGACATCTGTCAAAATATATACAAAGAAAATATAATATACTTTCCAGAGGGAGGGGACAGACTAGCTCATGAGGGGGATCAGGAAAGGCCTTCAGAAAATGATACCCGAACTGAATATTGAAGGAAGCTCTCATATGGTCACTTAGTCCAATGTATCTGCTTTTAGGTAGGTCACACCTATATCTTTCCAGATAGCTGGTAATCTACCTGACAAAAGACTAATGACATATTCAGCCCAAGAGGTTTACTTTCCTCATAACTGTAAATTATCTTTTCAAAAGAAAGATTCCTAAATTCCCATATTTCTTAACTAACAAAATATAGCCAATAAAAATAAGTGTATTTTTATCGACCATCTTAAACAAATGAAGACATAAGAAATGTAATATTTAAGATTAAGGTAGGCACACAAGAAATTACATATTTAATACAAATTATATCAATTTGTCAATTCCATATTTTCCATGGATGGGCATATCTTAGGAAAATTTTTCCTTTTCCATCCAAAAGGTCTATTTAATGAAAATAGTACCAGGAATTGGTGCTTTCTGAAGAGTAGGGAAAGACGTAAGCCAGACAATTACTTTCCCATTTAAGCTTATATATAGCACTAGTTTTGATGCTGAAGTAAAGTAGTAACATATTACCTCTGTGTTATAGAAATCCACATAATCCTGAATTTAATAAGTGAAATCAGATTGTTTTGGGCATGAATTAAATATGTTAATCGAATATATTGCCATTTCACAAATTGTCAAAATACAAAAAGTAAAAAAGAGGTAAGTAAAAAGAGCAATGCATTTGGAATCAGAGGACCCCAATTTCATTCCTGTCTCAGATACTTCCTGGCTATGTGACCTTAGGTAAGTCACTTAACCTCTCTGGGCCTCAGTTTCCTCATCTGTAAAGTGAGAGGATCATACTGGATGGTTGCTTGAGGTCTCTGCCATCTCCAGATTCATGATGTTATGATTATACACACATACAAATGGGAACATGAGAATTCTCTATCTCTTTAAACACTGACAATTGATCAATGTTCATATCTCATACTGTGAATGGATGCCAGGAGTAATTTGGACAGATACATTTAAAATGGCTACACTTGTGATAGATATATTGATCATTAGATTTTAAAGAGTAGGTTTTTAAATTTGAGAACAATCCTAGATTTGTTTGGTTAAGTAAAAGTTATCTGAGATCTTAATATCCATGATATAAAAAAGTTTTCTTTTGAATTTTTCTATTTTAATTTCTCTTATTTTAATATTGGGATGTTATATGTTAGTTGACATTTGCTTTAGGTTATTAGAATTATGGGTTTTGCTGTTAGAACCAAGCACCTGTGGTTTAATAGTGATGCTGCAATATAACCAATCTGATTGTATGTAGTTAGCTTGCACTCTAAGCATACAATATCTAAGAATGTGTGGAAATATTGTTCTCATGATAATTTAATGATAGTTCTTTTTATTGGTTTTTGATCAAATAAGAGCAAGAGCTATCTTTTTGTAATCTATCATCTTGCATTTTGATATATTATCAAAAATGTTCATGTCATTAAATCTTATTATTATTTTTGTTCCATGAAATAGTGTTGTTTCTTTTTTAAGTATCATCCATGACTATATTACTTGTTAACAGTAATGCTTTTGCTGTACTGTGTGAGTTTTATTCCCTTAAGGCAAGGTTCCCTGTATAACTCTCAAACAGAATCTGCTCTATAATTTGCAATTGAATGTACAAGTCTCATCTAATATCTTTGCTACCTTGATAAAAATGATTTTTCTTTTTAGTTGAATAACATAGTTAGTAACTAACAAAATGGTCTAATGTGAGTTTTTTTCTCCTTTTTTGGCCTTAATAAAATCAAGAAACAATTGTCAAGGGAGAAAAAGTATCATGCCTCATTCCCCTATACAATTTTAAACCTTTTCTCCTCTCTTTAGAAAAATATAATATAACTGTCTGGAGACTAAAAAAAATTAATTGTAACTCATACTTACATAACACTTTAAGGTTTACACAACCATCCTATTAGGTAGGAAGAGGAAGTGGTATGATTCTCATTTTATACATGAATCAATTGAAGGTCAGAGAAATTAGGTTTTGAAGCACAGGATCATACTGTTACCAAGTACTGGAGATGTTATTTGACTTTTTCTAAGTCTAGTGCTGTTACTACATAATGCTGCCTCCATGTATGCCCTATATATGAAAATTAAGAGAATTTGTTTATATATAAGGAAAAAAATTCTATGGATGATAGTCGATCACTCTAATACATTGATGTTATCTGTGACCTCATCAATGTGGGAATCTAGCTAGTGATACATATTGCAACCAATATATGCCTTTTCGTACTATGTGAATCTTGACATGTCCTCCTATAAACCTTTCAAAGAGGGGGGTTAACCTGCATGTAATCAAAGGTTACCAAAGATTTCTTACTTGTAAAATGGTCTTTTATTTCTTTGTTTTTAAAAAATTATTTATTTTTTTATTTAGACAAGCATTTATTATCTCTCCCTCCTATTCTTCCTAAACACATACAACTGAACAATTAAAAAAAAAAGAAAAGAAAAACAATCACAAAAAATACATATAGTCCAGGATAACAAATTCTCACATTTAACACAATTACCACATCCGATACTTAAGTCTCCGATTGTTTTTTCTTGGTGTTCTCTTCACTGTTAAGCTCCAGTGACTAATACCCTAGTTCTATGTAACTATTTAATTAATATCAATTAGCTTGATATTGACTTTGAATATATAGCAAGAACAAAAGTATAAATATTTCCTCCCAATACCTTAGAGGACATAATCCTCCCATCCTATCTCAGTCTCTGGGAAAAGTGGCTTCAAACTTAGTTCAATTCTTCCACAGCATTGGTCCCACCAAGTTCACGTTCAGATGCAGCATAACTGTGGGAGGGATCCTTGTCTCAGCTACTGGCCTGGGTCCTAAAGCTAACTCTTTGCTCTTTAGGGCATTGACGCTGAACTGGCCACAAAATCTAGATGTTGGAGCTTCACCCTCCCTTCACCTAAAATGGAAAAGAATAAATTTAGAGGCAGGCAAAGAACCCAGGTCTTTATTCACAGGGCCCCAGGACATTAGAAGGAGGCCTAGTAACCTACCATTTCTCTTCTTTCCCTCTTAAATTACAATGAATGTGGTTGAAGGTGATCAAACAAAGAAAGATGACTCAATTTCAAATTGTAAACAAGGCAGAGAACTGTCAAAATCATCATCTGGGACCTAATGGAGCACTACATATGCAATAGCTATGAAATAGATTTTTGTTTTAATGAATTTTGGACAGTTAAATGTGTTAGGTTGAGACATGATATAATCTAATAATATTTGTCATTAACATTCTGGATTTCCTTGGCCAAGAATCATCTTTCCTTCTTCAAATTTTCTTACAGCATTTTCTTCCATTGCCCTTTATCTTATATTGTACTCACTAGCAGGAATAGCACCTCTGGTGTGAGAGCTTGCCTAGATCTTTTCAGGGCTCTCATCCATCTTTGGGGTTCACCTTCATCCAACTCTCACCTCTGGCTCCAAGAAGGTGTAGCATGCACAGAGGCCACACCACAGTAAAACCATCTTGGTCTAAACCAGGCTGAGGGTAACCAATAGGCCTTATACCCATTGGTGAGTTAGAGGGATGTCTACCCCAAGC